ATATATATATGTATGAAAAAGAATTGTCTCAGCTATAACATACTCAAAGTTGGGATATGATAGTCCAAGGATAAGCGAGATACGCTCAAATTCGTATTTTCAAAAATGACGTAATCGATAAAATCAGTTTTGTTGAATATGATGATGTCACAATGTCCGATCAGCCATTATGATCTATAAAATCATATTTACAACTCATGTGCTTTCAGAATATGTAATAAAAACTGGGGGTCACCTTTCATCCTAAGGAGCTATAATTGATTAAAAATAGGCCTGATTTTAGCATTATTTTCACTGTATATCAGAACAAATACACGCAAAGCTCCCTATGTTTGATGCGCACGTACGACATTCCTATTGGCCATAAGATGATTGAAAAGAAAGGAAATTTGTGAAAACAATTTCAGGAACCCGAAATATGTAATAACACGTAAAAGTGCGTGCGCGTAGAGGATAATTAAAAAAAAGTGAAATGTTCAAAATGACCTGAAACGTGCTCTTATTTTGTTAAAAATTGATACCGAGCATTTTGAAACTTTGACGCACACGTTTTGAAGCACACGCGTAAAATTAGGGTACAGTACATTCAACATTTACCTGAAGTTAATGCTCACGATTTCGAAATGGCAATTGGTTAGGCTATGATAGATAATGTAAAAACGCAAAATTGGGCGTACCTGACGTCACGTATGACTGGTCACCTTGAAAACCTTACCATGTCTATTCCAGGCGATGCCAAAATGATCGATGAAGCGATCGTCTGCGTACCATGTAGCAATTTTGAGATATCATGCGACCAAAAAAGGGGAGAAAGAAAGAAGAATAAGAAAAAAAGATGATGATCCTGACAATAACAAGAGGTGATCCGCTTCTCAATGATAAAGTTTTTACTTCACATGGACTGTTATGTCAAATTTAGCTGAGCTAATAAGAATACCAATCGATGCCGTAGCCAGCTTGTCGGACAGTTTGGACAGTCTTGCACAATATTTCTAATGACTCCACATTTGTAAAATGGGTCCAAATTATGTAATTGTATGCATAAAATGGGTCCACTTTTTGTGAAATGGGTCCCGATTTCTCATATTTAGCTTAAAATTGGTAAAATTTAAGAAAATTGGTCCAGATTTTTCATATTTTTGCGTAAAATGGGTCCACATTGTTTGAATTTACGCTTATAGTGTGTCCGGCACTGTTTGAAAATCCTGGACAGACTTGTCCATGAAGGGACTTCCACATATGGAGAGTCTGTACCACCTCAGCTCCACCATGCCTGGGTATAGAAAATATATGATTATGTCAGCTTTAGTTGAACGGAAATGGCACTCTCAATTTGAATATAATTTTCTCTTTTTCTCCATATTTTCTTTTATTTTGAAAAATTTAGGAAGGTCTGGCAGGCTTGTTTTGAGAAAAAACATTGACCAATCAGGACCTGAGCCTCGTAAGACCTACCGGCTACTGTGGGGGTTGCTCTACCAGCTAAGTTATGGGTAACTGGTATTACCATAGTCTTTTCAATTTTCCCATTAGGTATGATTTCCTTAGTGTTGTAATGCATTGACACTAGTAAAAAAAATCAAGAAGCAAATGTATAAATTTCAGACTCTTTAATTTTATTGAACAACTTCCCATTGACTGACACAACTATCAATTGACTGAATTAACTACATTTTACTTTCCACTAATTTCAAATATGTAACTGTTCTCTCTTAAACTGCTTTTGATAATTTTTAAACATAAAGATTTCTATTTTTTGTTCTATTTTTGTTGTTTTCATTTAGAGATATAACAAAGCACATTATCAGGATACATTTCTTTTCAATTTAAATACAGTACTACATTTCTTGGGAATTTCAGGCTCTATTCTTGGTTTCTAGGAATGAATTAAAAAATACTATAATTTAATATTAACATAATATATATCTAGATGTCAGTTAGTTAAACTAGCTAGTCCAATTCTTAATGGGAGTGGGATTAATATTTGATACATTGCAACATCCAAAAGAAACCTTGGTGTAAAAACTACTGTATTATAAAAAACACATTTTTCAGTCACTAGAGGTTGTTAATAAAATGTATATTTACCTGCAAACAAAATTCAAAACTGTTATTAACTATAGGCTATCACTGATTCACATTTTTTATTCTTGAATTTTATTGAAGGAAACATGATCGTGGTATAGGGGTGTTTTGAGAATAACAATTCTTATACATCAGCAAGCAGCTATCACATTATTTATTTCATTTTCTGAAAATAGTAGCAATACAATTATTGCAAGGCTTATTTGTATTGGATACTAACGACTTTGAGGAAAGTGGCATTTCATAATTTCAGGGCTAATTTTACTGGATGATAAAGACTTTGATTGAGCAAACCACTGCTAGCTGAAGGGACCAATTGAAAAACTCCCCATCTAAGAGGCTGTCACAAGAAGGCAAGGAAACCTATGTTTCTACTCAAATAATTTATAATTATATCATAATTTCACCACCAGTTAGTAGATATGTCTAATTTTGTTACATTCAAAGAACAGGTCAAATTACTAGTTTAATGTTTGGGTCATACTGTATGCTGATGATCTTGTTCAGCTAAGCTTAGTAGACATAGCCAGCAATAAAGGATGATTCGTCTGAGCTGAAGCCTTTGACACCACCAGCATACTTCCCTTGAGCTGCTTCACTGTTAGCCTACAGAAGAAGAAAATATTCATGTTCTAAATTAACGTATTACCTTTTAACACCTGCTATAAAAAGATAATATTTAGAAGACAATTACCTACCTTTTAAATCAAATTTATTTCTTTGGATATTTATATAGCACCTTTCGTTTGCAGATACAAAGCACTTATGTCATTGGGTCCACATGCTTAAGTATGTGATCAGCGCAGGAACAAGCAACTCCACCAGGTACCCATTTATACTCCTGGATGGAGATAAAGTGCTCAAGGATGTGATGTTATGTATTTCGGACACATCACCATTTATAGTTGGAGATTATTAAACAAAAATTTGGCTTGATAACACATAAGATGGCGTACATGCATACTTGTTTCATAATATTTATGGGAGCCAATATAACTAGACCACTACAATGAACACAAGCATAATGCCCAGCGAGGGATAGAAACCCAAGCCTCAAGGTTTTGAAACCAAACTGTACACACTCCGGCAAACCAATAGCAGTTTGACAACTGTACTTACCTTTGCCCTCTTTATGAGTTCCTCCTGAGCTCTGGCAACATTTTCAGCTTTACCCTGCCATGCTTTGAGAACGCTAGCTTGCAAAGCACGACCGTATGAGAAGGAAATTGCCCACGGCTTATTTCCCGGCAGCTTGTTCATAGCATCTAAATGAACGGAGGCATCTTCCTCTGACTGACCACCTGACAAGAATGTGATTCCTGGTACTGCAACCGGTACACAGCGCTGCAGGGCTTGTACAGTGGCCACAGCACAATCTTGAGCTGAATACTTTGTTGGACATGATGAGCCAGGCAAAACCATATTAGGCTTCAGAAGGGTGCCCTCAAGGTAGACATGGTGGTCACTTAGAGCTTTGTAGGTGGCAGCAAGTACCTAGAACAGTACAAACACAAACAAATAATTTGTGGCAAAGACAAGCAAACCAGCCACTCGTCGCAAAAATCAATTTTTAGCTATTAATACAGAGTTAAAAAGTAAAATGCAAACTATAAAATGGTAAAAGAATCATTTAAATCCGACATTTCATTATGAAGTTTGAGGAGTTTAAACATACAGTTATTTAAAGAACAATATTTGAGAAATCAGCCTTCAAAGTTTACGATTTTAGGATTTCTTAGGCAGAAACCATCACCAAATTGTTAATATCAGATGGAGCATGACTGTCGTCATGAAATCATCAGAGCAAGTAAGAATATATCCATGAACATGTCTAGGATTAGATATCAACATTTTATACTTAAATCAGTTTTCTAATTAATTTATCTGTTTTTTAAAAGCACTGTGTTAATTGTATTTATATAGAAATGATATTATTTGTAATCAATCCTTTG